GGCCGCCCAGCACCGCTCCCGGCTGCTCCTTCCTGTTTACTCTCCGACATCAAATGGCCTCGGGGAAATCCGTTCCCTTTGTCCTGCGCTCTCTGCTCTGTTTCCATTTAGGCTGGCATGTGAGGGCAGCGGTTTACGGCAACAACGGGAGGTGGCGGGGCAGGGGAGCTCGGTGGGAAAGGAAAACGCGTACAGAGGCGTGCACACACACACACGTGTGCATATATACACATGTGCACACACCATGATTGTTTCTTTCTCTCTCCTTTCCTCTTGAAATCAGTAAAATAAATATATATATTTAAATTTTTTTTAAAAATGAGGAGGTGAGAATTACCTACATCTTGCTGTATCATGTCTTCTTTTGTCTTTAGAAATTAAGATTTTTAAAAATATATATATATATTTTTATTGATTTCAGAGAGGAAGGGGGAGAGAGAGAGAGAGAAACATCCACGATGAGAGAGAATCATGGATCGGCTGCCTCCTGCACGCCCCCCCGGCTGGGGACGGAGCCCACAACCCAGGCCTGTGCCCTTGACTGGAATTGAACCCAGGACCCCCTCAATCCGCAGGCTGACGCTCTATCCACTGGGCCGCACCGGCCAGGGCTGGAAAGGAAGGTTTTGTGCATTGCACACCTCAGGACCCTGGGGCAATTGTTCACACGAGAACTCTGTGCCTTCAGCAGCCGCGAGGGGTTCAGGCAGAGAAAATAAGCGTCGCTCCTGCCCTCTTGGGCCCACTCAGGGTATTGCTGCCCCTGCGGTCGGGGCTGCACCCAAGACCTATTCCTTGTTCTATTGCGCCACCTGCTGGCCAAGGGGCAGAACTTCTTTTCACCCAAACCTTCCATGCCCTCTGCCGAAGTTCACGTTCATGCTGTAGGCCAAAGGGTGCCTCTTAGTTCACAAAAAGCGCAAAGCTTTGTGACCCTCCCCCCTCCACTTTTTGGCCCCAAAATTACTCCCATCTTCAAGTGTTTTTGCCTTTTCTCATAAACTCTTTAGAGGAATAATGTCAGGGTCACAGCTCTTACCTCCAATTAAACTTTAATTAAACTCTGAGCATAAGAATCACCTGGCGTCTCTCATTGAGTCTTTGCTCCAGGCACCTGAGCCCCAGGTGGGTTTTTGTTGTGTTGTTTTTGTTTTGTTTTGTTTTGTTTTTACAATGGAGCTATTATAGGAAGCAGTGAGATCTAGCCTGCTCCATTAACCTCCCCCCCCCCCCCCCAGACAGGGCTGAGGAGCGGCTGTGGGAGACGGCAGCCTTCCCCAGCCCCCCCCACCCCCCCCCCCCAGCACGCACACTCTCCATGTGAATAAAAACATGCTTGCTAGAGAGTGCAGCTTGAAAACAAGTCCCTGGAGGTGCCCTCAGTGCCACGCCCCCCCGCGCTTTGATATAAAGAAACTATTGGATTATCACGGACTTTGCTGGGCACATCCCCAGTTACCGTCACCCCCACTGCCCAGCGGACCGGTAATCCTGTTTCCGGTGTGTTCTGGGTGCTCCTGCCCAACCAGGGAACACACTCCTAATGGAGGGACCCCGGCACCCAGCACAGGGACCCCGGCACCCAGCCCGGTGACCCTGGCACCCAGCCCAGTGACCCCCCCGCACCCAGCCCGGTGACCCCCGCATCCAGCCCAGTGACCCCGGCACCCAGCCCGGTGACCCCCCGCACCCAGCCCGGTGACCCTGGCACCCAGCCCGGTGACCCCCGCATCCAGCCCGGTGACCCCGGCACCCAGCATCCAGCCCAGTGATCCCCGCATCCAGCCCAGCATCTATTCCAGTGACCCCGGCACCCAGCCCGGTGACCCCAGCATCCAGCCCGGTGACCCCCCGCACCCAGCCCGGTGACCCCCCGCACCCAGCCCGGTGACCCCTGCATCCAGCCCGGTGACCCCCCGCATCCAGCCCAGGGACCCCGGCATCCAGCCCGGTGACCCCGGCACCCAGCCCGGTGACCCCCGCATCCAGCCCGGTGACCCCGGCACCCAGCCCGGGGACCAGCGCCCACCTGGCCCCTGGACCACGCGCCTAAGTACCAGGTGGAACTTATCAGAGTTCAAGTGACGAAACCCGCGGGGCCAGGATTCCCGGGCGGGCAGAGCCGTCTCTGGGTTAACCAGCGCTCGGGCTGCCGAGGCGGGGTGGGGGGTGAGGGGGGGCCTCCGCCCGGCACCCGGTCGCCCCCGCACGCAGGCAGCACACGGTGGGTCCACTTGGAAAGTTACACCCGCCAGGCCCGCCGCCGCCGCCGCCCCCCGGGCCTGGCAGTGGGGCGGGCCTTGCCGGCCGTTGTATGGGGGGGGGGGGAGGTCGGGGTGGTTGTATGGGGGAGGGGGGGAGGTTGTATCGGGGGAAGGGAGGGGGAGGTCGGGGTGGGACCTGCCGTTGTATGTGGGGGGGAGGTGGGGGTGGGACGTGCACATTCAAATGCTGTTTCCCGCGCTGAGGAAGGAATTACCCTCTGAATGTAAGGACAGGCCCCCGGCCACGCCCAAGGCGCAGCGGGCCACAATCTGGAGTTTTCGGAGGGTCCTGCTCCCCAGCTGGGAGGGCACCCCCTCCACCCCGCCCCCACCTCAGCGCTCCCAGCCCTGGACCTCTCTGCTCCCTGAAGAGGGGCGGGGCCGGGGCGGGGCCGGGCCCTGAGGGGCGGGGCCGGACCCCGAGGGGCGGGGCCTGGGCGGAGGATGGGCGGGGCCTGAGCGGATGATGGCGGGGGGGGGGGCTGGGCGGAGGGCGGGCGGGGCCGAGTGTGGGCGTAGCCTGGTAGCCCCGCCCCCTGAGAAACCACCATCCTCGCGGCAGCCAATCAGAGCGCAGCGAGGGCGCCTGGCCTCGCCCGCCCGCCCACGTGCCGCTCACATTGCCCCTCGAAGCCCGTGTTGGTCCGTCGCCCGCGCCCTCAGGGGGGCGGCCCTCAGGGGGGCGGCCCTCAGGGGGGCGGCCCTCAGGGGGGCGGCCCTCAGGGGGGCGGCCCTCAGGGGGGCGGGGCCCTCAGGGAGGCGGCCCTCAGGGGGGCGGCCTGTGGGGAGGCGGCCCTCAGGGGGGCGGTCCGCGGGGAGGCGGCCCTCAGGGGGGCGGCCCTCAGGGGGGCGGCCTGTGGGGAGGCGCCCCTCAGGGAGGCGGCCCTCAGGGGGGCGGCCTGTGGGGAGGCGGCCCTCAGGGGGGCGGCCCTCAGGGGAGGGGTCCGCGGGGAGGCGGCCCTCAGGGGGGCGGCCCTCAGGGGGGCGGGGCCCTCAGGGGGGCGGCCCTCAGGGGGCGGCCCTCAGGGGGCGGCCTGTGGGGAGGCGGCCCTCAGGGGGGCGGCCCTCAGGGGGGCGGCCCTCAGGGGGGCGGCCCTCAGGGGGGCGGCCCTCAGGGGGCGGCCCTCAGGGGGGCGGCCCTCAGGGGGGCGGCCTGTGGGGAGGCGGCCCTCAGGGGGCGGCCCTCAGGGGGGCGGCCTGTGGGGAGGCGGCCCTCAGGGGGCGGCCCTCAGGAGGCGGCCCTCAGGGGGGCGGCCCTCAGGGGGGCGGCCCTCAGGGGGCGGCCCTCAGGGGGGCGGCCCTCAGGGGGCGGCGGCCGGGAGGGCCCGAGGGGCGGGGCGGGGCGGGCAGCGCGCGGTCGGTTGGGCGGAAGCTGAGCGCGAGGAGCGCGGAGGGATCCGCGTGCGCGGCCGTTGGCGCTGTTGGCCCGGGCGGCGGCGGAGCGCAGAGGCTGCGTGGCTTCCCGGGCGGCGGCTGGTGAGGCGGCAGCCCGGCCCTGAACCCGGAGCCTGGACCCGGGACCCGGGACCCCGACACTGAACCCCCGGGACCCGGGACCCGGAACCCCCGACTCTGAACCCCCGGGACCCGGGACCCCGAGCCCCCGGACCCCGAACCCCCGGGACCCCCGGGACCCCGAGCCCCCGGACCCCGAACCCCCGGGACCTGGGACCCCGAGCCCCCGGACCCCGAACCACCGGGACCCCCGGGACCCCGAGCCCCCGGACCCCGAACCCCCGGGACCCGGGACCCCGAGCCCCCGGACCCCGAACCCCCGGGACCCCGAGCCCCCAGACCCTGAACCCCCGGGACCCCGAGCCCCCGACCCTGAACCCCCGGGACCCCGAGCCCCCGGACCCTCGGGACCCGGGACCCCGAGCCCCCGGACCCTGAACCCCCGGGACCCGGGACCCCGAGCCCCCGACCCTGAACCCCTGGGACCCGGGACCCCGAGCCCCCGACCCTGAACCCCCGGGACCCGGGACCCCGAGCCCCTGACCCTGAACCCCTGGGACCCGGGACCCCGAGCCCCCGGACCCTGAACCCCTGGGACCCGGGACCCCGGAACCCCGGACCCTGAACCCCTGGGACCCGGGACCTCGGACCCTGAACTCCCGGACCCCTGGCGGGCCGGGCGCCGGGAGGGCAGACGCCGGCTGCCCAGGGACGGGCGCCGGGCATCGCCCGCAGGGACGTCCGTGGGAACGTTTGTTCTTGTTCAGAGGCCGAGGGGGGAGGGAGGGGGGAGGGAGGGGGGAGGGGGGAGGGGGGAGGGAGGAGGGAGGGAGGGGGGAGGGAGGAGGGAGGGATGGAAGGAGGGAGGGAGGGGGGAGGGGGGAGGGAGGAGGAGGAGGGAGGGGGGAGGGAGGAGGAACGGAAGGAGGGAGGGGGGGCAGCCTGGGGAGAGGGTCATGGCCCGCCGCCCCGCGCCCCCTGCCGGCGGTGGCGCCCCAACCCGGGCACATTCCCGGCCTCGGGGTTCGCAGGTCGGCGCTCTGCCCCGGAGCCCTGATCCCCCCAACCCCTGAGCCCCAAACCCCTGATCCCCCCAACCCCTGAGCCCCGAGCCCCTGAGCCCCCGCTTTCACACGCGCCCTGGGGGGCCTTGAGCTGCTCCCGGTTTTGAGAACCAGGTCGCTCGGGCGGCTGGGGCGGGAGGAGCGAGGGGCCCCGGGGAGGAGCGCTGTGGCCGGGACTGAGGGGCTCCCCTCCCCTCCCCCCTTTTCCAGGAAGAAGATGACGGGGCGCGCCCGAGCCCGAGCGCGGGGCCGGGCCCGCGGGCAGGAGATCGCGCAGCACGTGGGCGCCGCCGCGGTGAGTGCGCGGCTCAGCCCCGCCGGCCGGGTCCCCCTCCCCGTGTCTGAGGCCCGGGCCCCCCCCCCCCCGGGGCTGAGGCCGGGTCCCCCCCGTGTCTGAGGCCGGGTCCCCCCCCCCCCGTGTCTGAGGCCCGGCCCCCCCCCCCGTGTCTGAGGCCGGGTCCCCCCCGTGTCTGAGGCCGGGTCCCCCCCCCCCCGTGTCTGAGGCCGGGTCCCCCCCGTGTCTGAGGCCCGGGGGCCCACAGGGAGGAGCCCCGTCCCCGGAGGTCCGCGCGGGCTCCGGCCCGGGGAGGGGCCCTGTAACCCGCTGTCACGTGCCCGCAGAGCCAGCAGCCGGGGTTCAGCCAGCCGCGCCCCTCGCAGCCGCTGTCGGACGCGGACCTGGTCGGCAGAGGGCGGCAGAGAGGCCCCATGGGAGCCGCAGCCAAGTCCCAAGGTGAAGAGCGGCCGGTGCGGGGCGGGCAAGGCGCGTGAGTGTGATTGTGTGCGTGTGTGCGTGTATGTGTGTGTGAGCGTGTGTGTGTGTGCGTGTGTGCGTGTGTGATTGTGTGTGAGCGTGTGTGTGAGTGTGTGTGTGAGTGTGTGTGTGTATATGTATGTGTGTGAGCGTGTGTGAGTGTGTGTGCGTGTGTGTGTGTGCGTGTGTGAGTGAGCATGTGTGTGTATATGTATGTGTGTGAGCGTGTGTGTGTGAGTGTGCGTGTGTGTGTGTGTGCGTGTGTGAGTGAGCGTGTGTGTGTGTGTGAGTGAGCATGTGTGTGTGCGTGTGTGTGTGTGCGTGTGTGAGTGAGCGTGTGTGTGTGTGAGAGTGTGTGTGTGTGAGTGTGTGCATGTGTGTGTGAGTGTGTGTGTATATGTATGTGTGTGTGAGCGTGTGTGTGTGTGCGTGTGCGTGTGTGTGAGTGTGTGTGAGTGTGTGTGTATATGTATGTGTGTGAGCGTGTGTGAGTGTGTGTGTGTGTGCGTGTGTGTGTGTGTGTGTGTGAGTGTGTGCGTGTGTGAGTGAGCGTGTGTGTGTGTGTGTGTGTGTGAGTGTGTGAGTGAGCGTGTGTGTGTGTGAGTGAGCATGTGTGGGTGGGTGGGTGAGTGAGAATGTGCATGTACGCGGGTGTATGTGTAAGACGTGGGCCAGCAGCCGGCCACAGACCCCACGTGAAGGGCCACAGTGGTCCTGTGAGTCCAGTGAGGGCCGGGCTGTCCTGGACCACAATGCACTGGGCACCAGATTGCACGTGGAGCTGAGGTCCAGGCCGGGGCAGCGTGCGGGCTGCAGACCTCTCCCGGCTGCCGTGTGGCCGGTACAGCCTCCTCTGTCCCCAGAGCTCCAGATCTCCGCCGGGTTCCAGGAGTTATCCTTGGCCGAGCGCGGAGGCCGCCGCCGCGACTTCCATGATCTGGGCGTGAACACCAGGCAGAACCTGGACCACGTGAAGGAGTCCAAGACCGGTGGGTGCCCACACGCTCCACGGCGGCTCCGGGCGGGCGGCTCCCGCAGCGGCGTGCTGTGCGTCCTGCCCCCGCGCGGGCGGGTCCGGCCGCCGGGCGCAGGGGTGTGGAGGCCCGGCTCGCTGACCGCGGGCTGGCCTCCAGGCTCCTCGGGCATCGTCGTGCGGCTGAGCACCAACCACTTCCGGCTGACGTCACGGCCGCAGTGGGCGCTGTACCAGTACCACATCGACTACAGCCCGCTGATGGAGGCCCGGAGGCTGCGCTCCGCCCTGCTCTTCCAGCACGAGGACCTCATCGGGCGCTGCCACGCCTTCGACGGGACCATCCTCTTCCTGCCCAAGCGGCTGCAGCACAAGGTGGGTCCTCCTGTTCCCGCCCACAGCCGCTGTTCCCGCCCACAGCCGCTGTTCCCGCCCACAGCCGCTGTTCCCGCCCACAGCCGCTGTTCCCGCCCACAGCCGCTGTTCCCGCCCACAGCCGCTGTTCCCGCCCACAGCCGCTGTTCCCGCCCACAGCCGCTGTTCCCGCCCACAGCCGCTGTTCCCGCCCACGTGGGCGCCCTCACCACCTCCCCCGCCCGCAGGTGACGGAGCTGTTCAGCCAGACGCGGAACGGGGAGCACGTGAAGATCACCATCACGCTCACCAACGAGCTGCCGCCCACCTCGCCCACCTGCCTGCAGTTCTACAACATCATCTTCCGGAGGTGCGCGCCGCCCGCCCCGGGGCCGGCCGCTCACACGCCCGGTGCCCACCTCTGCTCTGACCCTCCGCCTCCAGGCTTCTGAAGATCATGAACCTGCAGCAGATCGGACGGAATTACTACAACCCCAGCGACCCGATCGACATCCCAAACCACAGGTGTGCGGCCGCTCCGGCTCCAACGCGCTGAGAGACGGCTGTGGACTTGGCGCGAATCGCAGGAGACATCCCGACCCCGTGGGCCTGAACGGTCTCGGTGCAGCCACTGCCTCACCCCGCCGGGCCTGCCCACCAGCCGGGCCTGGCCTCGGCTCCGCACTCAGGTGGCGGCCGGGGAGGGGGTGCAGTAATGAGGACACGGGCGCTCGGACAGCTAGCGACCACTCACAGTTAGAGGGCATCCGAGAGCCGAGGCGGGTCTTTACGTGGAAGACGGGCTCGGAAGGCGGGGCTCAGCAGGGTCTCACAGACGGGCGGGCGGGGTGTGCCGCAGGTTGGTGATCTGGCCGGGCTTCACGACCTCCATCCTGCAGTACGAGAACAACATCATGCTGTGCACGGACGTGAGCCACAAGGTGCTGCGCAGCGAGACGGTGCTGGACTTCATGTTCAGCCTCTACCAGCAGACGGAGGAGCATCGCTTCCAGGAGCAGGTGTCCAAGGAGCTCATCGGCCTCATCGTGCTCACCAAGTGAGGGGCGCCGCGGCCTTCCCCTCCTCCCCACTCCTCTTCCTCCCCCCCTCCCCTCCCCTCCTCCACCCCCCTCCTTCACCCCCCTTATCCACCCCCCTTCCTCACCTCAACCCCTCTCCCCTCCTCCACCCCCACTCCCCTCCTCCACCCCCACTCCCCTCCTCCACCCCCCACCCCCCTCGGCCCGTGACCGCCTCGCCCGCAGGTACAACAACAAGACCTACCGCGTGGACGACATCGACTGGGACCAGAACCCCAACAGCACCTTCAAGAAGGCGGACGGCTCGGAGGTCAGCTTCCTGGAGTACTACCGCAAGGTACGCCCCGCCGGGCCGGGCGGGCCTGTGGTCAGCGGGCTCCTCCCGCACACTGACCCCTCCCCCGCCCCCCAGCAATACAACCAGGAGATCACGGACCTGAAGCAGCCGGTGCTGGTCAGCCAGCCCAAGAGGCGGCGCGGCCCGGGCGGCGCGCTCCCCGGCCCGGCCATGCTCATCCCCGAGCTGTGCTACCTCACAGGTGCGTGCGCGCCCCCATCCCCACCCCCCCGGGCGCTGCTGGCCCTCAAAACGCCCTGCCCCTGCCCCTGCCCCTGCCCCTGCCGACACCCAGGTATGGCCCCCCCCCCCCCCCCGCGACCCCGTCCCCCAGGCCTGACGGACAAGATGCGCAACGACTTCAACGTGATGAAGGACCTGGCCGTGCACACGCGGCTGACGCCCGAGCAGCGGCAGCGCGAGGTGGGCCGGCTCATCGACTACATCCACAAGTGAGCCGGGGCGGGGCGGGCGGGCGGGGCGGGCGGACGGGGTCCTGTGCCCACGCCTGCCGTCTCCCCTCAGAGACGACAACGTGCAGCGGGAGCTGCGGGACTGGGGCCTGAGCTTCGACTCGAACCTGCTGTCCTTCTCGGGCCGCGTCCTGCAGGCGGAGAAGATCCACCAGGGCGGGAAGACGGTAGGCGGGTCCGGGCGGCTCCCCCGGGGCTGCGTGGGCCCCCGAGCCCTGCGGCCGGAGAGGGCCTGGCCTGCCTTCAGCGGCCTCTCTCCCCCAGTTCGAGTACAACCCGCAGTTCGCGGACTGGTCCAAGGAGACGCGGGGCGCACCGCTCATCAGCGTGAAGCCGCTGGACAACTGGCTGCTGGTGTACACGCGCAGGAACTACGAGGCAGCCAACTCGCTGGTGCAGAACCTGTTCAAGGTCACGCCGGCCATGGGCATCCAGATGAAGAAGGCGGTCATGTGAGCCCCGAGGGCAGGGGCGGCGGTGGTTAGAGGCTCAGCCGTGTGCACAGGGGCACGTGTGTGGGGGGTGCACGCCGCGCACAGCGTCCGGGCACTGGGACCTGTGGGGCTCGGGGCCTGGCTGTCCGTCCCCCTCAGGGCGTCTCGTGTCCCCCAGGATCGAAGTGGACGACAGGACGGAGGCCTACCTGCGGGTCCTGCAGCAGAAGGTCACCTCGGACACCCAGATAGTGAGTGCCCGCCCGCGCCCGGAGCCCGCCAGGACCGGGCCCCGAGAGCGCTGCGTACGGGCGCCGGGAACGTTAGGCCTGGGCTCCCTCGGGGGTTACAGTCCGGTTCCCAGAGCGCCCCCCCCCCCCGCCGCCCGCCCCGAGAAGGGGGCCGCCTGCCGGGGCGCGTGCTGAGGGGACAGCGGGCGGGCCGCCTGCCGGGGCGCGTGCTGAGGGGACTGGGCGGGCGGGCTGCCGCGTCCCGTGTGCTGGCGTCGGGGGCGGGGTCCTCGCAGCCCAGGGTCTCCCGAGCTCCAGGGTCACGGCGGTGGAGGTCACGCTGGGAGCCCGCCCCGACCCTGCCGCTGGCCTCGTCCCAGGTGGTGTGCCTGCTGTCCAGCAACCGGAAGGACAAGTACGACGCCATCAAGAAGTACCTGTGCACCGACTGCCCGACCCCCAGCCAGTGCGTGGTGGCCCGCACGCTGGGCAAGCAGCAGACGGTGATGGCCATCGCCACCAAGATCGCCCTGCAGATGAACTGCAAGATGGGGGGCGAGCTGTGGAGGGTGGACATGCCCGTGAGTGCTCCCGGGGCGGGCCGCCCCCCCCGCCCCCCCCCGCCCCCCGGGCCCCGCCCCCCGGGCCGCGTCTGACGCGTCCGTCTCCGCAGCTGAAGCTGGTGATGATCGTGGGCATCGACTGCTACCACGACACCACGGCCGGGCGGCGCTCCATCGCCGGCTTCGTGGCCAGCATCAACGAGGGCATGACCCGGTGAGCGCGGGCCGGCAGGCCCCGCCCCCGTTCCCGTCCCGGTCCGGTCCCCGTCCCCGCCCCCGCCCCCGCCCCCGTTCCCGTCCCGTCCCGGTCCCGGTCCCCATCCCCCGCCCCCGCCCCCATTGCCTCACCTCGGGCGCGGCTGGCTGAAGGAGGGCACCGCTGTGGCGTGGGCGGGGAGTTGGTTAAAGGGGACCCCGGGCTGGGAGGGGCCTGTGGCCCTGGGGCAGCTGCAGGCCACAGGCACTTGGCTGGGAAGCCGGGTGGGCTCGTCTGGTTAGAGCCGAGCTCAGGCTGCGGGGGACTCCTGCTCCGTCCGCAGCTGGTTCTCGCGCTGTGTGTTTCAAGACCGAGGCCAGGAGCTGGTGGACGGGCTCAAGGTCTGCCTGCAAGGTCAGTGCCCGCTGCCCGTCCCTGCCCTGACCCCGTCCGGCCCTGCCCCACCCCACCCCGTCCCGTCCCATCGCCGCACACCTGCCCTGAAGCCTGGGCCCTGCCCGTGCCGGGCCGGTGGGCGCCCGCCTGCGTGTGCTCATGCGTGCCGGCCCCGTGCAGCCGCGCTGCGGGCCTGGAACACGTGTAACGAGTACATGCCCAGCCGCATCATCGTGTACCGCGACGGCGTGGGCGACGGGCAGCTCAAGACGCTGGTCAACTACGAGGTGCCGCAGTTCCTGGACTGCCTCAAGTCCGTGGGCCGCGGCTACAAGTGAGCGCCCGCCGTCCTGGGCCCTCCACCCAGAGCCTCAGGAAGCCCCGGGAGGCGGGTCTCCCCTGGGGCAGGTGCCGCCTGCAGCCCTGAGCCCGGCAGACACCTTGCCCCTGCTGCTGGCCCAGGGCAGCCCGAGGCCGTGGGCGGGCAGCAGCCCCTGGAGTTGGGCTGGGAGGCCCCAGCAGCCTCCATCCTCAGCCTTCCCTCCGCAGAGAGCCCTCACCAGCCCCTGGGCCTGCCACCACCTGCCTCCCCTTCCTCCCCAGCCCTGACGTGGCTCCACGGGGGTGGGGGTCTCGGTGGCGGGAGCCCTGACGCCCGGCTTCAGCCCCAGGCTGACGGTGATCGTGGTGAAGAAGCGTGTGAGCGCCCGCTTCTTCGCTCAGTCCGGGGGCCGCCTGCAGAACCCGCTGCCCGGCACCGTCATCGACGTGGAGGTCACCCGGCCCGAGTGGTGAGTGCCCGCCGCCCCGGCCCTGGGCAGAGCGCCGCCGGCCGGCCGGAGGGCCCCCTGGAGGCGCGTCCCTGGGGCAGTGGGCCAGCCCGGGCCAGCGCACGCGGGGCTCCCCCAGGCCCAGCCCCCCCCCCACACCCAGCCGCCCGGGGCCTTGTCCACGGCCGGGCGGGGCCCCCGGGGGCGGGCGGGGGGCGCTGTGCCGGGGGAGGCAGTGACGGGGGCGGGGGCGGGCGGGGGCGCTGTGCCGGGCAGGCAGTGACGGGGGCGGGGGCGGGCGGGGGGCGCTGTGCGGGGGGAGGCAGTGACGGGGGCGGGGGCGCTGTGCCGGGGGAGGCAGTGACGGGACCCCGGGGCGGGCGGGGGGCGCTGTGCCGGGCAGGCAGTGACGGGGCCCCGGGGGGCGCTGTGCCGGGGGAGGCAGTGACGGGGGCGGGGGCGGGCGGGGGCGCTGTGCCGGGCAGGCAGTGACGGGGCCCCGGGGGGCGCTGTGCCGGGGGAGGCAGTGACGGGGGCGGGGGCGGGCGGGGGCGCTGTGCCGGGCAGGCAGTGACGGGGCCCCGGGGGGCGCTGTGCCGGGGGAGGCAGTGACGGGGGCGGGGCGGGCGGGGGCGCTGTGCCGGGCAGGCAGTGACGGGGCCCCGGGGGCAGGTACGACTTCTTCGTGGTGAGCCAGGCGGTGCGCAGCGGCAGCGTGTCCCCCACCCACTACAACGTCATCTACGACAACAGCGGCCTCAAGCCCGACCACATCCAGAGGCTCACCTACAAGCTGTGCCACATCTACTACAACTGGCCCGTGAGTGTCCGCGGCGGCTCCCGGGCGGCCCCCGGGGCGGGGGCGGCGGCCTCCCCCAGCCTGACCCGCGCTCCCCGCAGGGCGTGATCCGCGTCCCCGCGCCCTGCCAGTACGCGCACAAGCTGGCCTTCCTCGTGGGCCAGAGCATCCACCGCGAGCCCAACCTGTCGCTGTCCAACCGCCTGTACTACCTCTAGCCGGCGCCCGCCTGCGAGGGCTCCGCCCCGTCAGCCTCCTCGGCCGGGGCCTGGGGAGGGACTAGGGCATCTGAGGCTTAATCCGCATCACTACCAACCGACGTAGTTTTAGGTAAAAATTAGTGTTTTTTAGTCCTCACCCAAGGACATGTTTTTATTGATTTTTTTTCTAGAGAGCAGAGGGGGGAGGGAGAGAGATCGATTGGTTGTGTCCTGCATGCACCCCTACCAGGGATCGAACCCGCAGCTTTTTGGTGCACAGGACGGGGGACCAGGCTCAGCAGCTGAGCCACCCCGGGACCAGTTTCAGCGTTAAGTTGTTTCCTCTCCGTCTGTGGGGAGGGTTGTTTGTTTTGAGAGAAATAGAGTACTTTGTGTTGTAAACAGACTTAAACGGTTGGGAAGTGCTTTCGTATGAGGCAGGCGTCCTTACGGCTGCGTGAACCTCGCGTTGACGTGCTGGGGGGGGAGGGGGGAGCCAGCGGGGAGGCAGGCAGGCAGGCTGGCAGCAGGCTTTTCCGCTGGGGCTGAGCGTGTGGGTTAGAGATAGGGGGGCCCTGGCCAGTGTTGCTCAGTGGGTAGAGCAGCCTGCAGACTGAAGGGTCCCAGGTTCAATTCCCAGTCAGGGCACAGGCCCAGGTTACAGGCTTGATCCCTCCCCTGTAGGGGAGCGTGCAGTAGGCAGCTGATCCATGATTCTCTCTCATCACTGATGTTTCTATCCCTCTCCCTCTCCCTCTCCCTTCTTCTATGAAATCAAACATGCAAAATAAAAAAAATAAAAAAATTTAAAATGTTTAAAAAAGGTAGTTGAGAAGTTTTAAGTTTCTGTCCAAAGAAACGTTTGGGGAACCTCAGCGGGAGAGGCCGCGGCGTGGGCCCGTGTGCGCCCGTTTCCGTGGCGGCGGCCCCGTCCGTGGTTATAATTAAAGTGGCCGGGCCTCCGAGAGGGACAGCATCCGTTCTGCTGAGGCCACACCGCGGGGGTGGGGCCCCTCCGAGCCCCTGGAGGCCACCTTGGACGTGGCTGAGGGACGCCTCCCCGGGGTCACGGTGAGGCGTGGCACAGGGCACGCTCCCGTCTCACCGGGAAGACGGCTCCGTTACCGCCTCGGGCCGAGCAGTCTCAGGATCCCCGAGTCTGTCTGACGGTAAATCACCCCCGCTTATCTTTTTAAATATTTCTTCATTGATTTCAGAGAGGGAGGGAGGGAGGAGAGAAACGTCCATGATGAGAGTCACTGATCGGCTGCCTCCTGCGCGCCCCACACTGGGGATGTGCCCACAACCCAGCCACATGCCCCTGACCGGAACTGAACCCTGACCCTTCCGTCCGCAGGCCGGCGCTCTGCCCACTGAGCACACCAGCGCCCCCCCCTCCCACTTCTATCAGGTCACATGTGCTGGAACTGCCTGCTGGTTTGGGGAGACGGTGGGTGTTGTGTCTCCCAGTTTGCCGAGTGGTTCCCAGCGGGTGGGCCCTGCGTGGCCTGGGCTGGTCCCCGTCAGAGCCTCTGGGAGAGTCCCGGCGCCGGAGGCGAGTGCGCCCGCCCCAAACACACAGGAGGCGGCATCGTGGAAAACGAGTTTATTCTAGAAAAGACTGGACTCCGACCGAACACGCACCCCACACGCCGCTCCCGGTGTGCCCGCCGCACACGCCCTGACCCGGGAACGCGCTCAGCCGCGCACAGGTTACAGAGGAAGGCGGTGGCCGTGTACAAAGAGTAAAAACGGGACGAGGGGGCGAGGGTACAAAAGAGCAGCGGCGGTCGGTCTGCTCGATGCCAGGAGGGCCGGTGTGGGTCACGGGGGCCGACTGCCGGGCCGGCCGTGGCCTGTGCGTGGGGGTGGCCGCCTGTGTGCTGCCCGTCCGTCCATCTGGCACGAGAGGGACCGACCCACCTAATAACACTGAGTGTGCGTGAGGACACGTGTTCTGGGCGTGGCCACAAGCCTGCCTGTGTGGGGTGAGAGCATGACGCGCACACACAGGAGCACAGCGAGTTTATTGACGTACAAACCATGTGCAGAGTAAGGCAGACACCGGGGCGTGGGGCTCGGACCGGAGGGGAGGGGAGGGCAGGGGAGGCGGGCAGCGGGGCGCGGGGCGCGGGAGGGGCGGGGCAAGCACAGACCGTCCGAGGGCGAGGCGGGCCTGGCCCGTGCCGGGCCTCCCGTCCGACAGGGACGCGGCCGAGCCTGAGGCCCGGGAGCCTGAGGCCCGGGAGCCGCTCTGCCCTGAGGTGCTGGGGCGGGCGGCCGGGCAGAGGTCCCTGCCGTGGGGGGAGCCGCCGGGAGTGAGCGCCGGTCGGGGCGCCGGCTCACTTGACGGCGCCCAGCCTCTGCAGCAGCCTCTTGCCTTTGAAAAGCAGCCCCTTTTTCTTCCTCGAGGACGCGGCCCGGCCTCTCCCGGGGCCGCCGGCACCCCCGGCCGGCGCGGGCGGCCCCGCGTGCAGGTGGGCCGTGGGCGACGGCGCTCTGCGGGCCGGGCCCGCCCCCTCCGGAGGCACCTGGTGGTACAGGGACAGTCACTGCGTGTGCACCGCCCCGCCCAGCCCCGGCGCCTCGGGACACGGGTGCCCCCGCTCGGCAGGACGGGGAGCGGCGCTTCCTCTAAGCCTGACCCGACGGCGGGAGGGAGCCCTGAGGTCAGGTGGCAGTCATGGAGCGCCATCTCCAAGCGGATGCACTCGGGACTCGTCCGGAAGCCCGGGCCCGGGCCGGCCGAGAGGCCCGGGTAGGGGAGTTGGGGATGGCACACGGTTGAAAGAAAAAAACTAAAATGAACCTTAATTGCAACCAAGGAAGCTTCCAGGCCTCGTGGGCAAGGCCTGTGTGCGCCGTGGCCTGCACGCACTGCGGTCTCGGGGGGCTTGTCCGTCGTGAGCACCCGGCCAAGTGCTGAGCTCACGGGCACCCGTGGCCCAGCCCCCAGTCCTGACCTTTGACCTCCCAGAGCCAGCTGCTCTGAGGCGCGTGCAGGGCCCTGCAGCACGGCCAGCCCGGGGCCGCCAGCTTGCTTGGTTTGAGAATCAAGGTCTGACGCTAATGAACTCGTCAAGCACCCGTCGCTGAAGATACCACGGCCCCGCTGGGCCCCGGAGCCGGTGTCTCGGAGCGGGTGCTGCATTGGCAGGCCCCCCGGCGCCTCCTGCACCGGCACCTGGAGGAGCAGCTGGGCTCGCTGTGGACGGAGGCGGGGCCTGAGGAGACCCAGCGCGGGCAGTGGGACGCGACTCGGGTCGGCCTGCCCACTGCCCAGCTGCCTGAGCTCCAGCCACACTTTTACCAGGAAATCTGCCGGGCCCTGGCCGGTGTGGCTCAGTGGATAGAGCATCGGCCTGCAGGGTCCCGGGTTTGATTCCCTGTCAGTGCCCAGGTTGTGGTCTCCATCCAGCCAGCAGCAGGAGGCAGCCGATCCATGAGTCTCTCATGGATGTTTCTATCGCTCCCCTTTCCCTTCCTTCTTTGAAATCAAAAATAAGCTTTTTTAATTTTGTAAGGAAATCTGCCATAAACACGCTGCAGAGGTCATGCTTTTCCGAGAGGCTGGCAATGCAGTACCGGCCGGGAGACACCGGGCCGCGGGAGACATGCCCGTGCCGCCTGCTCCCGGGAACCGGGGCGGCCCCGGCCCGGCCCGGCGCGCCTCCTTGCTTTACAGCTGAGACCAGTGGTCGTCAGACGCTGCTTTCCGGCCCCGGGACCCCGGCCCAGCGCGCCCTGAGGCCGCTCGGGGCTCTCCGTATCTTCAGCTGCTCACTTACGTGAAGGCTACTTGGCCTGATTAAGGTGTGAAATGAACACTCTTCTTCTGTTTCCAAGCAGATGAGCAAAGAAATAAAAATATATATAATATAAAGATAGAGGAAACTCGCGGCGATGACGTAAAATAAAAATGAGACGCTACGCATGGATGTCGCCTGGTCCTTCCCTGAGCCGGCGGGTCTGCTCCCGGGAGGACCGACCCTCGGGCGGGTCTCGGCCGGGGCCCTGAGTCTCAGGACGGGCCAGCTCCACGCCCTGGCCCTCGCCCTGGCCCTGTCCCGGTGTGCGTCCGTCACGCGGGGGGTCCCCTTGTGAGCAGAGGCAGCCGGTTGGGATGGAAAATGTCCCTTTTGGTGAACTATGTGTAAGGGTCAGAGGTCAGCAGGTTTAGGACGGCCCCGGGGGAGGGGAGGCGAGGAGACGCTCAGGGTGCGTGCTTCCGGCCCACGGTGCGGGGACCACACGGGAGCGCATGGGGGGGGGGGGCGGTGGGGAGGCCGGGGGCCGCTTACCCGTTTGGCCTTGGCGCGCGCGGGCGTGTCCTGAGGGCGCTGGGCCGGGGCGTCCGAGAGGTAGACTTCCACGTCCTCAGGCACTTCTTCCAGGAAGTTGGAAGGCACCAGGCCCTTCTGCCCATTGAGTTCCCCCTGTGGGCGCAGACGGAGCCTTACTCCCGTCCCTCCTCCCTCTCCCTCCCTCCGGCTAAGGAGCAGCCGGCCTGGCCCAGCCAGCCTGGCTCCATGGCTGGGCATCGACCTATGACCCAGGAGGTCAGGGTTCAATTCCCGGTCAGGGCATGTGCCTGGGTTGCAGGCTTGATCCCCAATAGGGGCCGTGCAAGAGGCAGCAGATCGATGATCCTCATTACTGATGTTTCTCTCTCCCCCCCCCCCACTTCCTCCCTCTCACTTCCTCCCTCTCACTTCCTCCATATATAATATTAAAAATGAAGGAGCAGCCCCAGGACAGGGAGGGTGGCCTCTCGGTCTGGGGCAGCCGCTGTGGGACCCACCAGGCCCAGCCCGTCCACCTCCGGTCCCCTCCCCGAGAGCGAGCCGAGCACAGGCCAGGCCGCCCGCCGCCCGGGGCCCGCCGCCCGCCGTGCCGCCCGCCGTGCCACCCGCCGCCCGGGGCCTCACTCACGTAGTAAAAGCCGTCCTCGTCGATGTCCCCGAGGACGGAGATGATGTCGCCGGTGCAGAAGGTGAGCTCGGCCTGGGGGAGAGGGA